AAGTTCACAAGTTTGAGGTCAGCCTGGGCAGTTTAGCAAGACCTGTCTCAAAATTAAAAAAAAAAAATTGAAAACAGGAATGGGGATGTAGCTTAGTAGTAAAGTGCTCCTGAGTTCAAACTTCAGTACCTAAATAAATAAATATTGAATAGTTTTGATACTGAAAATATATGTATATTAGCTATAGAAAATATATAAAAACAAAACACAATAGTAACCAAAACTCTAAAGAAAATATAAATTAATATAAAATAATTCTAAAGAGAAAACCTTAAACTTACAGAATATAGAAGAAGACATGCTGAACCAATTAGGAGATATTCCATGCTCGTGGATGGAATCAGTTAATATTACAATGCTGTCAACTTCCCCAAATTAATTTATAAATTCAGTGTGATCCCCATCAAAATCTCACTTGCATTTTTTAAGACCTTGATAGATTTGATTTAAAACTTATGTGATGATATAATGAAGATAATCTTAAAAGAAGACTAAAGAGGAAAAAAACACCCTATCAGATGTTAAGATACATTATAAAACATTAAAACCAATGTGGCATTAGTGCAAGACTAGACATCGACACACTTATACATATCATAATATGGATATGATAAAGTTGGCATGGCAAATCAATGGGAAAAGGAGGAATTTTTAGTATTTGATGATGGAAAATCTGGCTTATTTTTTTTTTTAAAAAAACTATCTTCACCTATCACCACTTGTAAGAATGAATTCTAGCTGGGTGTGGTGGTGCATGCCTGTAATCCCAATAGCTTCGAAGGCTGAGGCAGTAGGATCAAGAGTTCAAAGCCAGCCTCAGCAACGGCTAGGCACTAAGAAACTCAGTGATACCTTGTATCTAAATAAAATATAAAAATAAGGATGGGGATGTGGCTCAGTGGTTGAGTGCCCCTGAGTTCAATCCCTGGTACAAAAAATAAATAAGTAAAAAAAGAATGGATTATGGATTCTAGATGGATTAAGACCTATATTTGAAAGGTGATACTATGAAATTAATGGAAAAAAAGGAGGAGAATATCTTTTTGAGTTAGGAAGGGTAAGTACTTTAAAAATAAAATCCCCAGGGCTGGTTATATGGCTCAGTAGTAGAGTGCTTGCCTAGCATGTGCAAGGCACTGGGTTCAATCTCCAGCACCAAATAAATAAATAAATAAAATCTCTAAACCTCAAACTACAAAGTGAAACTTGTAATCCCAGCTACTAAGGAAGCTCAACAGAAAGACTGTAAATTCAAGGCCAGACTAGACAATTTAGTGAGACCTGTCTCAAACTAAAAATTAAAAAAGCACTGGAGACATAGCTCAGTGGTTAAACACCCCTGGAGTCAATGCCCAGTACTGTAAAAGCAAGTAAGCAAACAGCCAAACAAAACAAAAGAAAAAGCCCACAAAGGGGAAAAAAAACTGATGAATTTTATTTCATCAAAATTAACAATTTCTGTTCAAAGAAGTCTAACATTTTCGAAGTTACAACAGAATATTTACTATGTCTGAATCTGACTAATAGCTAGACTCTGTTAGAAACTCCAGTAAATCAAAATAAAATCCATAGGAAAGATAGGAACTTCAACATAAAATATGAGCTATTAAGCAAGCAATTTACAGAACAGGTGTTTAACACACATATGAAAGGATGCTAAAAATGCATTAGTATACAAAGAAATATAAGCTAAACCAAAATACTGAGTCACACCTGTTAGACTGGCAAATACTAGAAGGCTGGAAAACATCAAATCTTAATGAGGATGCAGGCATATAGAAATCCTTATATGTGGTCAAAGTATGGGACTGGTACAGTCATCCTGGAGAACCATTTAGAAGAACTGGTGTCCAATGTGAAACTAAATATATATGTACACTTTAGGATACAATCGTTCTGCTCTTGGGTGTATGTTCCAGAACAAATTCTCTCTTGACACAGTGACATTCACCTGTAATCCCAGCTATTTATGAGGGTGAGGCAGGAGTATTCCAAGTTCAAGGCCACCCTTGTCAACACAGTGAGTCCTTGTCTCAAAACAAAATGAAAAAAAAAAAAAAGGAGAGGGGATTTGGGATGCAGTTTAGTGGTAGAGTGTTTGTCTAGTATGTATTAGGTCCTAGGCTCAAGTAAGCAAACAGACAAAAGAAAAAAATCCTTATTGCAAAACAAATCCTTATACAGGTCAATAAGGGGACACGTATAAGGATGTTCACTGAAGTACTATTTGTACCATTGGGGAGCTAGAGACAATCATGCTGTCCATTGAATATTTAGAGGAAATGCAGCAAAAGCGCCCTAGTTACCATGAGGAGGTAGAAGCAAGGGATTAGAAGTATACATAAAAACAGAAGAATGGATGAAAAAAGCAACAGAATGAGATATAATTACTTAAAATAAAATATACAAACACAAAGCATCATCAAGGAACAACTTGATATTATGTGCCTCCTGAGGTGATACAATATGAAATAAAGGATATTTTCTATGTACTCCTCTTGCTGAAAACATTTAATCTGAATCTAACCATATTGAAAGAAAGCATGATCCCAGAATGTGGGACATTATACATAATAATGAGCCTGCAAGATAATCTCAACGTGAAGCCAGCTTGAGCAACTCAGTGAGACCCTGTTTCACAATGCAATAAAAATGATTGGGGATGTAGTTTGTGGTAGAGAGCACTTGCATAGAGTGTGTAAGGCCCTGGGTTAAATTCCCATATTGAAGAAAAAGGAAAGGAAAAGTACAATTATCCTGGACTCCTCAAAAAATATCAATGTCATTTGAAACACACAAAAAATATAGGGAGGAGAAAGCCAGGTGTGGTAGCACATGCCTGTAATCCCAGCAGTTTATGAGGCTGAGGCAGGAGGATCACAAATTTGAAGTCAGCCTCAACAGCTTTAGCAAGATCCTCAGCAATTTGGTGAGACCTTGTCTCAAAATAAAAAATAAAAAGGGCTGAAGATGTAGCTCAATAGTAAAATGCCCATGAGTTCAATCCCCAGTATACTCCCTGAAATAGGGGGGAGGTACAATAAAAAACCCACAAAGATATAGGGGTCTGAGCTAAACTCTGAGCCCTTGGCTATATTTGATATTACTGAATAACTGCTAAATTTTCTTAAGTATGATAGTGGTATTGTGATTATGTAGAATATTTGGCAAAATAGTAAGGGCACATGGATTTTCATTATACTTTTCTTCTAACTGTCCTGAATTTTGAAAAATTAAAAATTTGAGGAAATATATGCATCTAAAACAATACATCTATTGCAAGGTGGCAAATGTAAATATATGCATAAAATATCTTAGATTGACTGTGTATAGGAGGGAAATGAAAGTGGGAAGTAGAGATGAAAGTCATTTTAAGTAAAAACAGAAACCTTTCATTAAAATAATACATATTCATCATATAAATGGAAAACACAGAAAAGCACAAGGAAGAAAATTAAATTCACTGATAATCTCATTTTCTCCATCAGTAGTTCTCAAAATGTGGTACCTAGACTAGCAACAATAACAGCTTCTTTGTCGTCATCGTCGTCGTCGTCATCATCATCATCATCATCATCATCATCATCATCATCACTACCACCATGCTTGGGAATTGTTAGAAACGCAAATTCCTGGGTCCTAAACCCCCTAAACCAGACTTACTGAACCAAAACTCTGGGTGTGGGGCCCAGTAATCAGTAATCCAGTGATTCTGATTCTAGCCAAAGTTAGAGAAATAGTGATCTAGATTCAAACTATTATTAATACTTTGTTGTAGATCCTTTGAGTCATTTGAAAAAATATTATTTGAGGCATTCAAATATGTATAGAGAATAATGCAACACACACCCATGTACCTACTACTCAGCTCAGAAGATAAAATATTAGACAAAACAATTGAAGTCTCCTGTGCATCTCTCTCTCTTTCTGTTCCTATTTTCTTCTCCAGAAATAATCACCATTCTGTTTTTGGTATTTCTATTTTAAAAATATGTTTCAACAACTTGGGAGACTGAGGCATGAGAACTGCAAGTTTGAGGTCAGCCGGGGCAACTTAGTGAGACCATGCCTCAAAACAGAAAATAAGGTCTAGGGATGTAGTTCAGTGGTAGAGTACCTCTTGTTCAATCCCCTGTACCCCCCCCAAATATGTGTCTACATAATCTATAAACAGCATAGTACATTATTTGAGATTTAAAACTCTATGTAAAGTAGTTTCATACTTTGTGTATTCTTCTGCAACTTGTATTTATCTTGGCATTATTTTTGAAATTTATCTGGGTTCATGCACGCAACTCTTACTCATTCTTTGTGTGTGTGTATGTATTTTTTTGAGACAGATTCTTTCTCTGTTGCCTATGCTGGCCTGGAATTGGTGATCCTCCTGCCTCAACATGATTCATTCATTTTCAATGTTGTATAGTATTGTGTTGTATGGCTATAGTACAATTTCTTATTCATTCTCCTATTGGTGACATTCAAATTTTTTTTCTCCACTACAACAGTTCTGCAAAGATTACTCTTGCACATGCCTTCTTGAGCATATGTATAAGAATTTCTTCAGGATTTAACGTGTAGGGGAGATCTTCTACCTATCTCCAACAGGAGAACTGTTGGATCCCAGAGCCATCTTCAACTATTCACGCAATTTGTAATTGTTTTCTGAAGCAATAGTACCAATTTTTATTCCTATCAAAGATTTGATTACATTTGTTCTCTACTGCATTTTCTGTGTACTAAGGATTTTGTTTAAAAAGTCCTTCCCCAAATCAGGTACAGTAATGCAGGCCTATAATCACAGCTACTCAGGAGGCTGAAGCAGGAGGACCTATAAATCTGAGGTCAGCTTAGGCAACTTGGTGAGAACTTGGGTCAAAATAAAAATAAAAAGGGTTAGTGGTATTGCTCAGTAGTAGAGTGCCCCTGGGCTCCATTTCTAGTACCACTCCCCTAAAAAAACCCTTCCCCAGTTAAAGGCCACAAAGGTATTTTCCTGCACATTTTATATTAGCTTTATAGTTTTACCTTCTTATTTGCAGTCCACCTTCTTATGTAGAATAAGTAGAGATCTAGGTTTTTTTTTTTTGTGTGTGTGTGTGTGTGAGAGAGTTAAATTTCCCAATGCTATCCATTAAATTGTTCATTTTCCAATGATTAGAGATATAGGCTTTAAACTCACCCGTTTTGTCAAATTTGCTGAAACCAACCTTGTACCCATTTTGTGCTAGGTATGCTTGAGAACTGGAAGACATATGGTCCCTAATCTCAAGGAGTTCACATAAACAACTACAGTACAATATTCAGTGAGGTGTTAGGTTAACAGTTATATACAAAGTGCTCGGGGTTTTACTCAACTGTGAAAGTTCATAGCAACTTCACAGAAGTGATTAAGGTCTTTCAAAAAACTGAATTTGCAAATGCGGGAGAAATGTGAAGGTGGCCAGGGCTAGTTTGGTGTCCAAAGGAATTTTTATGCCTCTATGGGGAGAGGTTGGTTATAACTCTTTCCTGGCTATAGGGCTAGGGAGTGAGATTAGCATGTGCTAAGGGGTAGGAGGGCTGAGGAAGTCATTTTCAGCAGATGTGTTTAAAGTGGAGGAATATACCCTCCGGGTAAAGCCCCACCTGCCCTTTGCCCCCTCCGGAGGTCTAGATTAGAGGAAGAGGAGGGGCTGGAATTAGATTACCAAGGAAAAGCCATTTCAGACTATTTACTGTTTTTAGGGGTATACCCACTCTCCAACCACGTCAGGTGCTCCTCGAAATGGTTTCTGGAAAAAAAAAAACAACAAAAAAAACCTTACTTGGTCCCACTTCAGAGACACAAATTCATTCCTTCTGCAAACGCTGCTCCGCAATTCAGGGAAGGAGGGAGGAGGGTCAGCATATGGGTGGGAGAAGCTCCCAAGTTATTCCTGGCTCCTTCTCGGGCAGAGCCTGGCCACGGATGTGAGCTTCTGCAGAAGGTTCTGGGAGTGGCTGCCTCAGGGTTCATCTGGAGCCCTGTGAACTGGGAAGGTTGTTGGGAATTGCTAACCCAATTCATTTCAGGTGGGAAATTCTCGGCTAGACATGTGACCCAGGCGGCCATTTTCTCATACCCTGCCGGTCGCCATCTTCCAGGCAGACAAAGAACCCCCTCCCCTGCCTACATCCGAGGCAGGCTGAGTTATTTCCTGACCACTAAGATTTGGGAACATGCTGATTTAATCCTAGAGAGTGTCCGGTATACAAGATTCTGTCTTACAAGTAGGTTACATGACCGTAGGAGGAAATCCGATGATTCCCCTTACCATTTCCCCGCCCCCTTCCCCACCCCCGCTATTTCTTAACCTACGAGACAGTCAGGAGGCGGGGCCGGCGTGGGGGCGGGGAAGGCACCGGAAGGTGAGAGTAGATAATTTGAGACCCCGCCTCTGATGAGGACGCGCAGCGGGCAGAGCCGAGCTCGCGACGGAATCACGCCTCGCGAGGCTGAGATCCGGAAGTCGGAACCTAGCCGTACAAGCGCATGTCCTCCGTCCTGGTAGTTGTGCTACCCTCTCCTCTGTGATCCCCGCCGGAAGTGTAGGTAAGAGACTCTTCTCCTCTTTTCTCTTGGTGAGCGCTCACCCAGCCGGCAGCGCCATAAGGATCGACTATTTGAGGTGAAACCAGAGATGCCTGCCAGCTTGGAATAGAGAGGTAAACGGCTGGCTCTCTTCCAGAGTAGAAAGGCCCGGAAGGAGGACAGGGATAGTTCCGCACGTGGACATGCGCCAAACTGAATTCTCGCGGGGTTGAGGCTTTGCTCCACCCCATCTAGAAAGGTGTAGACCCCGGACGCACTGCCGAGAGGCACAGACCTCACTTGTATGGAAAATCGTTGATGGCCCTCCGCCCCTCGGGATAGTGAGACTCTGTTTCGCATTACTCCCTTAGGTGTTAGGTGGATATCAACCCGCCAAAGGTGTGGCGACATCGTCCCCACCATATAGGGACACAGTGGCCAATACAGGGCTGAGTGGCATAGACCTCTCCTGGTTTAAGACACAGATCCTAATTGAGGCACCTCATCCCCCAGGACAGGCTTTGATGTATCTACCAACCATTATTTCTGAGCTGAGAAACATGTGAAGCGTTAGCGAATCTCTTTTCCTGATGTAGACCCAGTGACCCACGCAAGTCTCCACTTCTGCTGAGTAACAAAAGCCCCGCCCCCACTGCACTGCTGCAGAGCTGATAAGATCACCCCTTCCTGGAGTGGTTAGAGGCACAGGCCTCAGCAAAAGGAGAACCTTGCAAATTACTCCTCCTTCCTGTCCTAGAAGGAGTCCTAATTGTGGAGAATTAAACCCAACCTCTGCACCATATAGTAGCGCTGATTTACTGTATTTGTAAAGGCCCATCCCAAAGTGCCTCACAGCAAATATGAACGGATGTTAATATATGAGGAGGTCGTCAGTGGAGCCCCTCGAGGAATCCCCAGCTAGGAAGACTCAGATTTTTATCCTCTCCTTGTGAAATAGATACAGAGACCTCCTTCCAAGTACTTATAATTAAATGTAGCCAAGGGAGAGACCTCACTAGAGCAGAGGTGCAGTTCCCCCACCCTGTAATGGTAAGAGGTAGCAAAATCACCAATCACCCTATAGTGCAGTGCACATAGGCTTCCTCCTCCTTATCCAAGGTACAGGAACTCAGATTCATTTCTCCTCACCCAGGGTAAAATAACAAGACACCCTCTATCTGTCAATATATGAAGAGATAGATCCACATAAAAGTTCCACCATCCATGGAAGGTTTCAGAACAGCCCCCTGCAGGCAAGGTGTATATCCTACTCATTCAAAGCTGAACATTTTCCCTCTATTAGTTTGGTACTGACGTCATCTCATGGTGAAATCAGGCATATCAGTGCTGCCCCATAGGCCTTTCCAGTGTAGAAAGACCTAGAACCCCCTCCCCTCTCTTCCTAATAATTTGGAGATACATTCAATTGTACTTCTCTCCCATGTACCAGAAGTGCATTCAGCCACTGTTGGTTTCACATTTCTCTGCACCCCAGAGTAGAGGGACAGATGACAGCTCCCCTGAATTGACAAGGTGTACACCCTAGTCACACATGCAGGCACAGATTTCCCTGCTCTAAAATTTTGCACTGACCTCATTCTCATGGACACATAGGTAAGAGGCCTCTTTTCCTCAGGGTAGACTCCTGGAATCTATCCCCACCATTACTTCAACCAGGGTAGATGAGGGACAGGGCTTCCTTCTTGGGAAAAGAAATATCACCCCAATTCATGAAAAAAACAGACATGCCTGCTCCTCTCCCCTCAGTGTGAAGGGGTTTACTCTAGTTCCTTATTTAGGGTATAATATTACAAAATGGAGGAATAGGATCAAGGACCCCATTCAATCCATTGAGATATCAGCTCCACTCAGGAAAAGGGTCTCAGATATACCCCTCCCTTTGGATAATGTGACACTGTGTGTACTCAGCCATATTAGAACCTAGTTCTAGGATAGCCCCTTCTCCCAGCATCTATAGTTAGGTCTTTTTAATCATGTTCTCTGACATTTCATTTTACTTTTAGGGGGCTTGGGGCATTGTGGTTCCCAGGTCTGTATAAATTGCTTCTTCTCCCATTCTAATAGGAAAAAAGTGGGCATATTTGGAATTACCCATTTTCAAGCTGGACTGATACATCATGATGAAGCACAGACACAGTGAGTTTTTTTTAATTAACCCCTCCCAATCTTATGCTTTTAGTGAATATTCATATAATTTCATAGTGACTTTTAAAAATTGCTCGGTATTTTCCAGATCATTCAGAATGTGTGTAAAATGTGGTATAATGGCTGCCCTCCTGACTTCCTTGTAAGAAATGCTTCCCTTATCTACCATTCCCTTTTTACAGGTGAGAAAACTGAGGTTCAGCCAAGTTTAGTGACTTGATCTTAGGTGAATGGCAGTAAATACTATATGGCACTGCCTAATATGCCTAATATTTTTCTTTATGAGTTATACCTTTAAGTTGGTACCATAAGTTGTACCAGTGTTAAGAGCATAGACTCTGGAGCTAGACTGGGTTTGAATCTCAGCTTTCTCACTAATTCTGTGACTGTGGGCAAGTTACTTAACTATATTCTCCATATCTACAAAATAGAAGTAATTAATTATGGCATCTACCTAATTGCAATTATTGTGAGGATTTTTATTTAATTTTATTTTTTGAGACGGGATCTTGCCATGTTACCTAGCTCGCCTCAAACTTCTAGGCTCAAGTGATCCTCCTGCCTCATCCTCCCAAGTAGCTGGAAGCTTAGCATAGTGGCATATGCTTGTAATCCCAGTGACTCAGGAGGTGACTCAGTGGTTAAGTGCCCTTGGGTTCAATCCCTAGTACCAAATATAAATAAATAAATAAGCAAATAGATAAATAAAATTTAGTCTTTTTGTTTCTCTTTGGAATCTGGCCTTTCAGAGAATGCATATACTATGCTACCCACAAATTGTTGTATGGCTTCTCCTGACCTTTGGATTTTTCTTTTTATTTTGTTGGTACTGGGGATTGAACTCAGGGGCACTTAAACACTGAGCTATATCCCCAGTCCTTTTTTTGTATTTTTTATTTTGAGATAAGAGTCTTGCTAAATTGCTGAGATTGGCCTTAAATTTGCAGTCTTCCTGCCTCAGCCTCCCCAGCTGATGGGATTACAGGTGTGTGCCACCACACCTGCCTAGGGTTTTTCTTAACTCTAAAATAAGACATGTGGACAAATTGTTATTCTTTGTGCCTTAGGACTTTCTGCCTCCCCTCCCCTCACTCTTCAACTGAGTAACTATTGATTTTCAGATTTCAGCTTATGCATTACTTCCTCTGGGAATCCCTCTCTGATAACTTCCTTCCTTGGTTTCTACTCTGTGCATCCAAAGAAACTGGGCCTATTGACCAGGGTTGTCTCCACCACTGTACTGTTGACTTCTCATCCTTTTCTGATTCATCATTGTGTCGCAAGGGCCTGGCATGATGAGGCATAGTTTGTATAACATAGTGTATGCCAGGAAGTAGAGTGACTCAGTTTGTAGTGCTCATTCAGTTCCCTCTCCTACCATGATGTATGAAGTCTAGAAGGAGAAGACAAATATGTCACACAGACTCCTGCATAAAAGAGAAGAAAAGGACTTTTGGACAAGTACACTTCTGGGCTTCGCTGCCTTTATCTTGCTATGGTCCACAAAGAAAATGACAACATTTGGATAACACACTTGGTGGACTGGACAAGAATTGTGCAACCATTGTACAGTCTATTGATCCTATGCACCAGTGGTTCTCTATTCTGTGTGAATCATGGCCCTGCCTATGTAGAGCTTGGTGGAAAAAACAAATTTGAATATATTTTCTTTATAAGATAATAAAAATTTTATCAAAAAATTACTTTTAATATCAAGAACAAATAATATTTATAAGTAGCACAAGAATAGTGAACAAAATTAATTATTCTTTATTTAGCAACATCTACTACCAGATAATTAAAATACTGATAATGATGAACAAGACAATAATTAGGTGGTTGCAATAAAGTCATATTTTATAAAATATGTACATGTAGAAATCTAGGCAGTTTAAAAAATGAGGAAATATTGTATGGAAAAATTATTTGGAACAAGAATGTTGTATGAAAAGACCATTAGACGGAAAGATTTTCAAGATTTGTTAAGTTGGAAAAAAAAGCAACTTGTTGATAGAATAGAGTGTTAGCTTTTTTTTAAAAAAAATTAACCACTGTTAAATTATTTTTTTTAAAGTTTTAAAATTGTCAATGGGTCTTTATTTTATTTATTTCTGTGTGGTGCTGAGAATTGAACCCACTGCCTCACACATGTGAGGCAAGCACTCTGTTGCTGAGCTATAATCCCAGCCCCACAGTGTTACCTTTTATGGGAGAAAATAGAAATAAGAATATATGTGTATATTTGCATAAAGAAACTGAACAATGCCCAGTAAGATGGTTTCTTGTGACAGTGAAGGGACTGTAATGGATAGGAGCAAATGTGGGAGAGAAGTCTTTTAAATACATTTTTATTTTTGTGTTGCTGGGGATTGAACCCAGGACTTCATATATGCTAAGCAAATGCTCTACCACTGAGACATACCCCTTATCTGAAAATATACTTTTGATTTTGGAGCTATGTGACTATTGTTAAAAATAAAGAATGATGGGCTGGGATATAGCATGGTGATAGAATGCTTGCCTAACATTCATGATTCCCTGGGTTTGATTTCCCAGCTCCAGAGAGAAAGAAAGAAAGAAGAAAAATAAAGCTATAAAACTACATTAAATGGTAAAAGTTAAATTGAGTATAAAAACTTTTTATAGCGCACACAAAACAGGATTTTCATTGGTAAATTGCAACTAAAATTACCAGACTAACTGGGATGATTACTGGGAAAAATGAGGGGGAGGTGCTGTGTTCTGAACTGGGCATACAT